GGATTGAAAGCATGCCTATTTTTCTTGCTGAAATTACTGAAATGAACTGCATTTGTGTAGCTCTTCACTGCTTCTCAGTTCCTTATTTAATTTTGTTACTTACCGAGTTGGAAGTACTCACGTTACTCCCTGCACCTTGTGTGCAGATTCAGGTGTGACTAGACGTGGAGGTCATTAAGTTCGTGCGCAGTTGATCTTTCGGAGATTTACGAGGTAGCTGCCGGTGTTCGCAGACCTTGTGCTCCTTCCTTATTATCTTTCTTTCTCTATATTGATATCTAGACGCTGACTATTGTAGACACTGTCTTTTAGATTGAGAGTCTAGTTGCTCATGACTCAGTGACACCCCGATGTCGGACTATTGTTCCGCACTTATGTTTTATTTGGGTTTTACCCAGTATTAATGAGAAACTCCGATTATTTTAAATATCTTAATTCATTTCTGTTAAATTTTGAAAGTGTTTTGGAAAGGTCGGCTTGCCTAGTACCACGATAGGCGCCATCACGATGGGTTATGTTTTGGGTCATGACATTTTTGCAATCAGAACCACTTCACCAATTATAAGATTAGTGACAGTGCAAGACTTTGACAAGAACTCGACTTTGTTTCCTTTATCGCAGATATGAGAGATACTCAACAGGCTATATTTCAAGCCATTCAAATAATACACATTTTCAATTGAGTGAGAGAGTGTTTTCCCAATCTTTCAAACTCCCGGAATGTATCCCTTTTTGCCATTTCCAAAGGACACACTCTCACCTTGCAGGACCTTGAGTGAAAGGAAACCATCCATTCTTCCAGTCATGTGTTTAGAGCAGCCATTATCCATGTACCATTTTTGACTGCTTCTCTTCACCACTGTCTACACAAGAGAATGAGAAATGAAACTTAGGAACTCATACAAGTTCGGGTCCCTTGTAATGAGGGAAAGGGCGAATCAGACTTCTTTTTGTCTATGCAGGCATCCCACATTTCTTTTTTGCAGAGAATCAAGTTCCTTAGCAGCAAATACTTTTTCAACAAAAACTTTGTTTTTCTATTGGGACTTAAAATTTGATTTATATGAATCTTTGTAATGACCAGTTTTACCACAATGAGTGAAAAGCCATTTATCAGGCACAATACATACTTGCTATGTGGGTTATAGGGGGCCTTTTCTTTGTGGAACCCGATTCATTGCCCGCTCCCCCCATTAATTTTATACATGGAAGTAATTATATCAGAGGAACATGTCCACTTTAGAGATGTATCTAGATCATTTTTTAACCCTACTTAAATCTTCCTGAAGTTATCTATTTCTTTCATGTTCAGCAACAAGACTTAATTTTATATTTTTGAGTTTATTTTCAAGCTTAAGGTGTGCCTCACTTGCCACTTCCTTTCTTTTAGAAGAGTTCATGCATTTTTCCATTGAATGTTTTAATATGATATTTTCTATCTCTAATGTTCTATATCTCAAATTTCCTTAATTAAAGCATTTTTATCATTAACGAGATTGTGGTAAGCATCAATTGAAACAATAGCTAAAGATACCAGCTTCTTTTGAGAATAAGACTTCAAATATTTTTTGAATGTCTAGAAAGTTTACCTCATCGTCATCATTATCTTCTTCCTCATCGGATTTTTCCATCTGTGCAAATATGGATTCATATTCAGCAGCTTCACTTTCAACGGCCATCATGGAGGTGTCTCTTTGCTCATCATCACCCTTAGATTCACTAGAGGAATCTCCCCAGGCATCCAGAGCTTGCTTCACAACATTATCAGCGGCATCTCTTCTCTTGAACTTATTGTCAGGGAGCGGGTTCCTCTTAATCGTCTTATCCGCGTTATGTTTGTAATTGTCCTGCTTGTGGAGAGGACAATCTTTGATGAAATATCCTATATTTCCGCACTTGTGCCAGCAATCATAACCTTTAGTGTTTTCGCCAGAGTTGCCCTTCTTAGGAATTCCTCGATTTAGACAAACCCTTTTTCTGAAATCTTTGTTTAAGATAGGCCATGTCAGTGTCATCTCCACTTGAGTCACTGCTGTCTGCCTTGAGAACCAGGTTCTTCTCCTTTTTAGGTTCTCTTCTTTCATGATCTTTCTTCTTATTCATCTCATTGGTTTTCAGATTTCCAATGAGTTCATCAATAGTCAACTTTTGCAGATCCTTTGCTTCATCAATAGTCAACTCTCCTAGGAACCAGGTAACACACTGAGTATTTTTCTAACCAGTTTTTTCCTTGGGATAATTTCTCCAAGGGAATGAATCTCATTGATGATGGAAGTAAAACGAGTATGCATATCCTGAATAGACCCATCCTCATTCATCTTGAATAGTTCATACTTTCTAGTAAGCATGTAAATTTTTGACTTCTTAACTTGAGTGGCTCCCTCATGTTCAGTTTGGAGAGCCTCCTCAGATCTCCTTGGCAGATTGACAGGCTGAGATCTCGTCTGGTCCAATGCCACAAACAAGGATCTTATTTGCCCTGAAGTTTTTCTCGATGGCCTTACGATCAACATCATTATATTCCTTCCTTGTCTTTGGAACTATAACTGTTCCCTCACCAATGGTCTTCATGGGGACGAAGGGTCCATTACAAATAACATCCCAGAGCTCTGAATCTTCTGCCATCATAAAATCATGCATTCTTGTCTTCCACTAGCCATAATATTGGCCATTGAATCTTGGTGGTCTGTAGGTTGATTGTCCTTCTTCAAAATTTGGTGGAGCAACCATGTTGATACTTTCTAGGTGTTAGCCTTATAGAAAGAACCCGCTTTGATACCAATTGTTGTAAACTAAAAGTGCACCAAACTATATAGAGAACCCGATTCTCTATCATTTCCCACAGAATACAAAAGTAAGTAAATAACACAACGATATTTACTTGGAAAACTCCCAGCTCACGGGATTAAAAACCACAACCTACACTGGTAGGATTTCAACTTCACTAACTGAGCAAACTTTAGATAACAACCTATAATAATCTAGGAGTTAAAATCGTAATCCCTCACCTACTCATAATAACTATATTGCAAGCCTCTTTGTAATAACTATATTACAAAGCTAACCACTTGACTAATTTTAGTCAAAACAACCACACATATTATGGTTTAAAAGATGTCCTGTGAAATGATCTGAAAAACTGAGTAGGAATTACAAGTGAATAATATGAACAAAGACACAACAATACTAAAGGACACATGATGTAATCAATGTTGGGATCTGGTCCTTTGTTTTGTTGCTGTTTTGTTCTTCAATACCTTAGAGAGAATGAAGGCAGCTGCACACTTGAGAGTAATCAATATTTAGGTTATGCAAGTGTGTTGAAATTCCTTTCCTCGTGTTGATAATATATGAGTGAGCTCATCAAAGATGATGCAAGGGAGTGTCCGGTACACAACATGCTTCAACAAGTTGTTGTACTGTTGCGTGTACAGTGCAATAGCTTTAATAGCTATTAGAGTTGACTTGTACTGTGACCGAAGGAACTGATCTCTATCTATTCCCTCTGTTGTTCCCTTATCTGGTTTCATTTGAGAAATGAACCAGACATTTGACTCGTTGCTCTGAACGTTGCGGAACTAACTGTATTAGGTTCCCTATCTGGTTCTCTCATTGAGTTTGTTAAATCATCAAAACAAAAGACACTTAACTTATTAGACTTACAAAACCAATTTGATGAATAAATACAATATTTGTTTGAGTTATACATAAATAGAACTCAAACCTGAAACTACAAAGGACAAATGATAGTTATGCCCGAGCAACAGATATATCTTCAATGTCATCTCCCGCCATACACAGTTGCATCAGCTCTAAGATCTACACATAAGGTGCAGAAGTGTAGTATGAGTACAACTGACCCCTTGTACCCAATAAGTATCTTGACTAACCTCGATGAAGTAGCTGACGAGGTTTTTTAGTTAAAAGATACTCATTGATATAACATGTGTAGTGGAATAGCAATAGAAACAATACTAAAACATAACAGAGAAGATTACAAGGACAAATATGCGAAGCAGTAAATGATTACTAGAAGAAATTATGGTCAATATTTCTTAATATCACAACCAATAATTTCCTCAAAGCGATGACCATCAAACCATGGTAGTAAATCCAGAGCTTTCATAGTGTGAGAAATGAACTCAAGATATCAAATCAAATGGCACGACAACACTCTTCGTGCATTTATCTCATCCTTACCGAGCATACGTATAACAGTACCAACCAGGTGAAAGAAAGGCCAATTACAGTTACGACAAAGTTGGAGATACACATGTATTAATAACAAACAAGGCAATGCATAAGGACAACGATAACGGACTAGGTAGAAGGCATAGAAGTAATGACAGCAATTAAGATAGAATAACATAAATTTTACTAACTAACATGGTAGAAGGCTTAGATGTAGATATAACAAACAGGAAGGAAAGCATGATCTTTATAAGCTAAACAAATAGAAGGCATGAATAACTAACATGGTAGAAGGCTTAGATGTAGATATAACAAACAGGAAGGAAAGCATGATCTTTATAAGCTAAACAAATAGAAGGCATGAATAACTAACATGGTAGAAGGCTTATACAAAAGTGCAACAAATGAGAAACGACATAGATGTGGATATGACAAACAAGAAGGAAAACATGATATTTTCAAGTTAAACAGATTGAAGGCATGATAATACAACATCAATTGAGGAAGAGGACAAAGACAGAACAACAACGACAAGTCACATACAAAACATAGGTGCAACAGTAACAACTCAAGATAAAGAAATGAATGTATACACAAGGAAAAGATATCACAATATAATGCATGTCCCTTGTCCTCGCCTGCACGAAAATACCCTTCGTTCCATGAAAATATGATAATATAAAAATAATGGCTCGGCATCACCCTTCGTAATTTTACTCTCATCCTCACATGGTAATGTAAATGAAATGGCACAACATCGCCCTTCGTGCTTAACTCACATGGCACGACATCACCCTTCGTGCTTTACACTCTTTCTCTCATGGTAATATATATAAAATGGCAAGGCATCACCCTCCGCGATTTACACTCTTTCTCATTAAGCACATGTATATGAATAACAAGCAAGAAAGGAAGAATGAATAACATCAAGGAGAGCAATTAAGCGAATATTCCAATGAACATAAATCACAGCTTTCATGCTAATAACAATTCAAAAACGTCAAGAACCTCATTTTTCAAGTATCTTAACCAATCTCAAAAAAATGATCTTCAACTCGAGTATCGAATCCAATATCTCAAGAATAACGGTCGTAGCGATGTACTTTTCATTAAGTATAGTGTTGACCGAATTTAGCACATTAATAGTTTCACAAAAATCCGTCAAATTTTAATCAAGTTTGAATAAGCTAAATCATGGTTTCTTGTATTTAACTTCATATTCATATTAATCTAGAAGTAAAGTAAAACATGAGGCAAGAAGGCCACATATTCCAACAAGGCATAAATAATCGTATAATCTACCCCCGAGCATGATTAACCCTGGCACATGCGTATACGCTCGTCACCTCATATATGCATCACCTCCGCATGTAACAACCAATATCAATTAGTAGGAAAAATTCTCCCAACAAAGTTAGGTAAGACACTTACCTCTAACAAGCCAAATCGATACACTAGAAGCACTATCCTGCAAGGATTCTTTTCTTTTCACAAAAATAATAAAGTTATATTGCTAATTTATGTCTGATTAGTTATGAATTATACTAGGAATATATATGGTATATATAATTAAATTGTTAGTTTTACTCTGTGTCTTTCATAAGGTGCTAATTATACCCTATATATACATCACATTTGTATTTGAATTGAAATAAATATAGATGCAAAACACATGTTATATAAATTTAAAATACTGAATCCTGCAATGTAAAAATACACTACATGTATCTTAGTGTATAATTACTTTATAACATGAATAAATTTAAAAAAATTCTGTCATGACCCGGAATTCCAACCTCGAGGTCGTGATGGCGCCTAACATTCACTTGCTAGGCAAGCCGACATGATATAATTAAATAGCCAATTTTTAACAGTTTAAACACAATGATGATATACAACGAGAAATAGAAACCCAATCTGATACAGTACCAATATAAGTCATGTGATAATATATACTCCCAAAGATGCGGAGTCACGAGTGCACGAGCAGCTAGAAGTTCTACAAACAGAGTTTGAAATAAACACAACTGTTTCGAAGGAAATGAATAGTAAAAGAGGGAAGAGGAAGGGGACTTCAAGGTCTGCGGACGCTAGCAGATCTACCTCAAGTGTCCGTATGCAATGATCTGAGCTGACGCACCTCACACACCGGTAGGGACCAATACCAGAATCTGCACAAGAAGTGCAGAAGTGTAGTATGAGTATAACCGACCCAATTTACTCCGTAAGTGTCGAGCCTATCCTCGACGAGGTAGTGACGAGGATATGACAGGACACTTACATAAATAAACTTGTACAAGTATATGCAAAGTAGTAACAATAACAGAGGATACCAACGTATAAAGTGGGAGGGGACATGCAAAAATGGGAAAAATATGACAACTACGATAGGTGTGAAATCACATAACGACCAAATAAATCATCAACTAATGAAGTTAGATAACCAATGATATGAAAATGGCACGACATCACCCTTCGTTCTTTTATTCTCGTCCTTACCATGAAATGATGATATAAGTAAAATGAAATGGTACAGCATGACCTTTCATACTTTTACTCTCAACCTCACCATGTAACAATGAATAAATGAGATGAATGGCACAACATCACCCTTCGTGCTTTTACTCTCTTCCTCACCATATAATAATGAATAAATGAGATAAATGGAATGACATCACCATTCATGCTTTTACTCTCTTCCTCACTATGTATTAATCAATAAATGATATAAATACAATGACACGGTATCACTCTTCGTGCTTTTACACTCTTTCTTACCATGTAACGAAGATAATATGAATTCGGGAAATAAATAATGCGGGGAATGTATTTAACATCAAATATGACTCCAAGATACCAAACTTCAACTTCCAAAATGCTCAACAAATACGAAATAAGCAATAATTACGAAATGAATAATCAAAGAAGTAATAACCTAACATAAGCATGGATATCATAATTAATAATACAATAAAACACAAGGAAACAAGTTCCACCCTCATACTTTAACCTAACAACAACGCATAAGTATTCGTCACCTCACATATATGTTATTTCTACACATTAAACACGTAGCAAATAGACTAACAAGTCTTAATCCCTGAAGTCAAGGTTAATCACGATACTT